AGCCATCTAAAAAACAGAACAAGAACCTAGCTTTGCTAATCCAACTTTATATGTAAACCGCATTTTCACAGACTTTTGTCATGCTATCACTTCTTCCAAATCTTCCTCTGTTTTCATGTGTTTTAGTGGTTTTTCTTATGTAAAACCTCTTTGCAAACTACTTTTTATCATCTGGTTTATATTACAAACCATCATGTCATTTTGATTACTTTATTACATCCAACTGACTCCCTTCAGAATCAGTGCAATCCTTGTACAGTAAACACATTAGACACAGAAGTAAACTCCTGGTCTGACCCTGTTTTACCTCATGCTGTTTGCTCTCCCTGGTCTTCCTAAAAGGCTGCAGGGCTGAAAAACCTTGCTGGGGATTCCTCAGATCAAAAAGTCCTTCTTTCTTTTCTTTGCACTTGTCTTGTTCCTAGAACAGCTGCTTTGCTTTGTTGTCTTAGCATCTGATGCATACTTTAAGATCATTTAGAATCATAATTGATAATGATAATTGGGATGCAAACACAGAAAGTAAGCACAGTATCTACAGTTTAACTTTTAACTTAATTTGATATGAAACTACAAATAAAATACCAGTTATTAGAAACATTCCCCCATTAAAAAAGACTCCATATGTTGTTTGTGCATGTAACTTATTCATTAAATGACCCATATGGTTGTTTAGATTGGGAGGATTAGTTGGGTTACACATTTTTTTTAATTTTGCGATCTAACCATGAAACAACCATGTCTTGTAAAAGTAATGTTTATGTTTTTAAACTATTTTTCCCAGTGATGTTGTGGTGACAAACGTGGTAATTGTTAGCTGTAAAGTGGCAGAAAAGGTTACTGCAGGCACACAAGTATCATTTCTAGTTTTAGTTTTTTATGTCTAACCATCATGCTTACTTTGACAAATGGTAATTAGCAAATGATTTGTGGAAAATACAAGAACACATGTTAGCTGGTCAGGTGCTATGATCTACTCAATAATCTGATGTTATCAATACCAAATTGTGTTGTTGCCCAAAATGTAGAATAGCTATGTTGGTCCACAGTGTTAAACATAGTAATGTCACAATAATGGCTGTAAAATGGTGAAATGGCAATGTTTTTGTATTGTAACACAGTGTCCATTTCATGTTCTGCTTGGTGGTTTATGGTAGTTGGCAACAACACCATGGTTCATTACTGCCACCAACTGGACTGGAGTGTGGATTGACAAGCTAACATTTAGTGTCCTACAGTTTTGAACTATAGAATGTTAAAACATTGGGAAGGTGGTGGCTGGATCCAACAAACAACTTACTTTCACGCAGAGAACCTGAGATCATGTCTGATGTTGTGCAACAGTGAACTTTTCATTTGATGGTGTTTTAAGTGAACCCAGGGACTTTCTCTAACCCTAACCATGTAGTTGTTGTGCCTAAACTTAACCGTGTATAAGGAATTTCATCCACTGTCTTTCATTTTTGCTGCCAGAAAACATTGCAATGTCAGAATTCTGGAGGTGTTACTGAGAGTACTACATCTTGCATTCTGGAGCAGTGCAGCTATAATTAATTTTGCTGTGAGACTGAGTTGTATTTCGGCTACTCGCATTCACTGTTGCTCAGCAGCTCAGAAAGTCCAGTATGACTTGATACCTTACTGTGCTGCATATCAACAGCATATATTTATATGAATACAAAAAACCGCTCTTCTAGATGTTTAAGTTAGAGCCTGGTGCTCGGGTTTCACAAAATGTGCTAAGCTTATAACAGTGCAGGGCATGGAGAACAGATACTCTCTCCAATATAATGAGAACCAGAAGCCTGTGCTCTGAAGAGAGATTTCCACTGTACACCGCAACGTATTGCAGCTTTCACATATGACCTACAAACTCAAACAACTCAACAGTAACAGCCCTGGCAAATGAGTCATCTGTTCTTATTGTATTTGTTGAGTCATACAATAAATCTCATGTTTCTCTTAGATTTATCGCCTTGTCCAAATGCATCACATTTTGTATGAAACGCTCAAATGGTAATGTTTTAAGTGATGTTATCTCATGGTAGAGAGTTGATTGACTGTTAAAACAATGTCACAATCTGGAAACAAATAACAAGTTGAATGCCAAATGGCTCCTTCAGGGCTTTAAGGTGGCCAAATGAGATAGCTATTTCCTTGACTGAAGGACTAGAAAATGTTAAAATCTTTTTTTTTTTTCTGTCAGAAGCTTTCAAGAATGATCTGGATTTATTTATTGGAGGAAGAAGAACAGTTACCAGTACCTTTTAGAGGCGGAGGATAGGATATAGTGTGTTGGTCTATAGTTTGATAAAAATCTCATTTCCATTCCAGTCTGGGTTTACTGCTTGTTACAGGACAGCTTGCAAAGATTTCAGTCTTGGATTCTGCTCCCTAGCTCTGACATTTACAGACATAGGGCTTTGGATTATCCACACTTAAACAGGCAGTCCGAGCCCTTCACCCCTTCTGCCCCCCCTCCCTTCCTCTCCCTGGCTGAGCTGGAGCACTGGCAGGCAGCTTGTATGGTTGCTGAACCTTGCTCTGTCTTGCTTGTTCTGGTCGTATTACTGGTTCTGGATTTAATCTGGGCCCAAGCTGTCCTGCAGCTACTCCCCTACACTCATACTGTAACAACAGCATATGAAGTGGTCCTGTACATGAATTTCTTCAGCTTCTGGCTCTTAAACAGACATACACTTTAAGACAGTAAAACTGAATCACTGAAATTAAAAGACATTGACTGTTTTTGGTCCATTATACCCTTATGATGAATGTTCATAATGTTTTCAATGATTTACTACATTGCTGGTGTGCAACACAGTCTTGAATGTATGTTATACATTGTACCCAGATTCTTTGAGAGGGTTATTTTTTGAGAATGTCCAGTATCTTTTTAGGAAATGATTGCAAATGTAGTTATTTTTATCCTGAAAGTTTATAAGATCATGTCATTACAGTGATTTAACTAAAGTTACTAAAGTTGTTTACACACAGGAACTCAGGACTATATGTCCTCAGAACCAGGCCCCTTCAAACATGTAGCATACAAGAGGAGATCATCTGTATCAGAAGTGTTCTCACCTACTGGAAATACCTTATTTGGTTTATGTGCAGGGGCCACACCCAGGTAGAGCGTGCAAGAAGCAGGACATGATATGGCCATGTAGCCTTGTTGGTGTCTTCACTGGAAATGACTGTTTTCATTCTGTCACATAGAATGTCACTGACATGCCAACTAGCTCTATGTGGATACTCCAGACTATGTGCTGCTGTATTCTTACATGAGCTCACTCTGGCTTACTCTGACCTTAAGTGGACTTTGTACTAGGGAGCTGGCAGGGTAAAGTTCACTTCAGGTCCAGGTTGACTGACTAACATTTGTGTTCTCACATACCGTTCCTCCGGGTAATGTTTAGAGAATTTTAAGGTTCCAGTGCATGTTTGAAAGGGTTTAAGACTTCATGAAAAAGATTTAACATCAGTTCTAATTTTCTGAACCTGTCTCCTCACATAAGTTTTGACTGGGGTTCCCCTTTAAATGTGTAATAAAATGCATTTCATCCATACTGTTTTGCTTATGCTTAACTAACTGGTAATTATCTGATGCAGTTTCAGATTAAAAGGTTTTGTAAGAAGTTTTTTTTGGGAGTTATTTTTTGTAAAACTGTGCAGAAAGTAATTATTTAGTTTAGCAGAGCTGTAGCTTTCACAACAAAACTGACTAACCACTGCACATGAACTACAGTAAGCAGACCACACAACTGTAATTAGCCCAGTGTGGATTGGTCACTTATCAATACCTGATCTTCTTGATAAGTCTAATCAGTGTGTACAACATATTACATGCTCACATCCTTGTAACCTTTTAGAGTGATAGTGGTTATTTATGGTGCTAGTCTTGGAGGAACAGCTGAAAATAAAAGGTTAAAACTAAATGGTCAGTGGTGTTTGCTGCATTCACTGGTTAGATAGATAGATCCTTTATTGTCATTGTAACACATACAACAAAATTTAGAGTGACCTCCAGTTGGTACAGCAATAGAAAAAACATATATGAAATAAGACCATATAAAAAACTTAACCACTAAAAAAACAAAATAACAGCCCTCTCACCCTCTGGAGTGTTTCCTCTGAGCCACTGTGCTGCTGCTGTAACATACATACATATACAGTATACAGTATGTAAGGATGCTCTCAATAGAGCACCGATAGAAGGACACCAGCAGTCTCTGGGAGATGTTGGTTACATGCAAGATTGACATGTACTCTCTAATGTCTGAAACAATGAGGGCAGGGTTGGACTGTTGCTGTAAGCCTTGATCAAGGATTGTTTGGACTGGAGCCCCCTGGTCAGCGTTGTATAACAAGATTGTTAAGTACTGCCATCCTTTCAGCACACAGTCATCATTAAAGCATAAGAGGCATGAATGCCAATGTGTGTGGACACAATTTTTGCATTGACTTTTGCAAATCAAGCCAAACTCACTCTGTTATTGTTTTCCATGCCGAAATTGTCTTTTTGTCCACTGTACAACTCAGTAACCTCAAATGTTCCATGTAAGCAGACATGATTGTCAGCAGTGATGGTGAGATGAACAGTCCCATTGGGCAGTCAGACACAATTTAAGTCATGGTGTAGCTTTCCCATGGCTCAGTCAATCCACAGCATGAATATAAATGAAAAGTTCAGCGATTTTATGTTTTTGACTTATTGTTTTCCAGGTCAGATTTTCAGAGGTAGAAAACTGACAGTACAGCTTTGGATGAATGATCTTTGTAGCCAATAAAGACTATAAAAAACCAAAGCTCAGAAAGTTTACAGCAGTACTAAACAAGATCAGAGAATAAAATGTGTGTTTTATGGAAAACAGGGAAAATCACAAGTGGTCAAGTGGTTGGAAATAGTGTGGTGTCGAGGTGGTGATGGGTCTCTGTGTGAGTGTCTGTCCTGTCCTGAAGCTCTCCTCTCACCCTTGCTTTCATCTTTCACTCTGCAGGTCAACGCCACCTCAGCCTGACACACCAAACATGCTGCCAGGGGAAAAACAGGATGGGCCACTGCCGATGTCGTCAAACTGTCAACAGCTAGGTGATGATGGAGTAATAGCCTGTGTGTATGTATGTGTGTTCATGTGTGATTTTGTAGGTGTAGTGGAAGCTACCCTAGTCAAAGAGCTGCTATGACCCCACTTCTGCTTCATTCCTCCCAGTTTACCACTAAACATCCACGCAGGTGAAAAACTTTAATTTATTCATTTGGGAAAATTCAGTGAGACCAAGAGTTCTGTTAATACGCTGTGTTAACATTACAGTTGTCAATTAGCCACTGTGGCTATGCACCACCATACCAAAAGAACAGCTTAATGGTTACATTAGGTAATAGATGATAGTGTTTTCAGTATTATCTTCAGTTTACCATGACATAAAATGTCAGATCCCTTAAAGAAATTTTAAATTTCAAACTTAACATTGTCAGTATCTCATCACAAACTGCCTAGAACTCTAAACAAATGCTGATTTAAGCTTGCAGTAGCTACACTAAGGTATGCACTGACGCTATCATGTCTCTGATGTCACTAACCTTGTAATTAAACACTTCTTTTATTCTCAACTTAAAGCAGTAAAACCCCTGCACTTGAGCCACCAGATAAAATGTTGTCATCATTGTCTTGGACAATATTTGTTGGCACTCTCTCAATCTTATTACTGTGATTATGCCAGTGAGACCCTCTATCAATCCCAGAATGCAACTCTCTGTTTACTATCTGACGCCATTGTGAAATAGGTCAAATGAAAATGGTCAATGGAACATTCAAAAGTCACTAATGGTTTCAAATGGTTCATGACATCAGAACTGTCATGTTTCTTTGTGGTAAAGTACATGCCCTATATGTGGACAGTAAATTGCTACTAATATCTCTTTTTGGGCACACTCTTCATAACTTGACAGCTGATACCAACATGCATGTGACAGCAGTTTTGAAAACCTTTTGTGTACAGTAACAATAACAAAAGATGTTACATCTGTTTTTGTTTCAAATGCATTTCAGTCATTTCTGTTTTGAAATGAGGCGTATCCCCAAGTACCGGTCATACCAGAGATTTGGGTTTATTTTCATTGTTTTGTCTTGTTGTTGTTCATGTAAATGCTGCCACATTTGTCTGAGATGTATGATGTAAGACTTTCTTCTTCTCCTGGAAATGTTGACATATGCTAATGTGAGCACTGTAGAACAAGGGGCACGTCAGTTCAGTGGTTCCAGATATGGTTTTGCACACCAGCACATCCAAAACTGCAGGATGATGTTTTCAGGCAGGGGTGTGGCACTCTCAACCAACATCAAACTTTTCCTCACCCTTGTATTACAATTATCGTCTAATATTAGTCTATTATAATATCACATCAGTGCAACACATAAATCATATCTTAACAGCACAGCAACCATATGCCAGTCAAAATGTTGCCTGGGACAATAAAATTGTTAAAACTCATATTTTAATAATCACAGGCTCAATAATGAACTGGCCTAACACCCACAACAGGTCAGCAAGGATCACAACATAGCAGTGCAAAAGCAACCTAAGCCTCACAACAGCAGCATCACAAACACCAGTGCTTCATCACCATAGCTGCACCAACAATGAACCCAGTACTGTCGTAAAATATGACAAGGCAGAGGCAAATCCTTAATAAGAACAAACTCTCTTTCCTTCAATTTTACAAGCAATACCTGTAATAACAGGATTTATGCTGATTCAGAATGCATGAAAAGCAGTGCACCTTTTGTACCAAGGTTATTAATGAATGCAGTCTCACAGGATTTGTATTAAGTTGTGTATAAGAAGAGTAAACAACAGATTTGCTGAGTAGCTTAAGCAAATTTCATTTTACATCCTGCACAACTCTCCACAAGGCTACCTTTGGCAAGTCAGTTGAAATTACCTGTTGAAAAATACCGCATTCACTTTGAAGGCACACAGAGGCCACAGTGGATTCCCCTCTGGAACAAACAGAATGAGAGGAAGACTGAGAGAAAAGATGACTCAGGCTCTCCTCCTTATTCATCCATCCGTTTATCCTTCCATCTGGTTTGCATTTGTGTGGATGTCTCTCATCATGTGGCTCCTGCCCCAACAAACCCCAGATTCTTCATTCTACCTCCCCACATTCTGCTAGTGCCAGGTCAGGACTGAGACAGCAGAGGTTCCCTAGACATGAGGTAGAAACATGTTGGTCTCTGCTGCTCCCAGAGACACACCAGAGTGAATGGAGTGTTGGCGTAACTCTGGAAGGAACGGGACATGTTGCTCTGTGTGCGAGCAATCGTCTGATTACTGGGTTGATTAAGTGAGCTAAATTGGACAGGCCTGGTTTCAGGATGAAATACACAAGGCTTTGGTTTTTATGCAGCCTGGTTTGGGACGGCCAGTGATTGTTCATATGGGATTAGAGCAGGGGAAGGGGAAAATATACCACCCTATAACTTGGGTTCAGATCTTCTTGTCTGGGGGGGGAAATCTGGTTTGATGACTGATACATACATTGTCTTAGCATGTCATTGGGCTTGGCATGATACGCACGGTGATGGTTCAGATGCAGCACTCTCTGGGCAATGACGCAGTAGCTCATCGATCATCCCTGATTCCAAATGGTGTTGATAGGCCTCTGTGTGGAGGGCACGAGCCCAGGCTAAGATGAGACACACTGAAGCCTCTTTACTAAACACCAGGAAAAAAGCGTCACTGGGTATGATGGAGTGTGTCTGAAGTGGCAGATGGCAGCAGTCTGAGAAATCTGTGGTCTTGTGTAACTTAGCTGGATTGAGCAAAGCGATGGTCTGGGATTTGCTACTTTTGCAGCAATCCCAGTTTGATTGATGCTTTTTGAACCTCTTCTTGTAAAGGTGTGTTCACAGATAGAAACAGACATTTGTTTCCATGCATTTGACTGACAAAACTGTTTGTATTCATTTGCCTAACTTTACTGACTTGGCATGGAATGGAGGCTTTGAGGGGAGGGGCTAGGAAGAGCACAATTTCCATACTATTGATAAATTTGGATCAGTGAGGAAAGAACAGTTCTTTAAATGAATGTATTATCAACATTAAAGTAATATTTTTGTTTTTACCTGGCTTTAATAAACACCATTTCCCAGAAGCCAGAGCCTGTCGCTGCTGAAACGTCACCAACTGATGCCATTCAGCTGAGGGGGGGAGAACTGAAATTAGGTCCTGAGTAGAGAGATGGGTGTAACTATTACACATTTTCTTATGTGTATTTTAGAATTTAAAATGTTGAGAGAAGTGAGACTAATATCAGAAACACACAGATAACATTATGCTACAAGGCCCACCGAAGTCCAGAAGAGTCTGATAAATTAGTGACATATAATAAGTGTACTGCTGCGCTGCAAAGTGATCATGGGAACTGTAGTCTTTCTGATGCTAATAAAATAAATTGTCAATTAACTGTATTAAAACCACAAAGGTTTCAACTTTCAGCGGTATGTGTTGTAGTGGTTGGTGGATAAATTATGGGAAAAAAATCCAGAGGAGCATGTTTAGTTAGCTTCCAATGACCTATGAAAAATAAATAAGAGATTGCATAGAGTCACTAAAGCTAGTGGAACCAAGGCTAACTGGATGTGATGACATGACTTATATTTCTCTTTGTCGGTGTCTATACTCAAAGAACTGAACTATTTTAATGTTTATTTTTAACTAACACTGTCATATGTTCACTGGAACTTTATCATGGCTCTAAAAAAAGAATCCCATAAAACTACAGATCTTGGCTCATAATGATGAAATTTAGGCTTTGTCTTCACTATCAAAAATTATTTCTTTGTAAACTGTACATTAGTTATTGCTATACAAACAGAAAACGCTAGCTAATGCAGCTTGACTCTTAGAAATGTAGATTTAAGGCAGCATCCTGTTGTTGTTGATGGTGTTTTGTCATCTTGTGGCTCAGGAGGTAGAGCGGGTCATTCCCTTAACCGTAGGATTGGTGGTCCAATCCTTGACTTTGTCAGTCCACATGTTGAAGTGTCACTGAACCCTGAGTTGCTCTTGGTGACATCAGCAGTATGTGAATGTGTGAGTGTTTGTGTGTGTGTGAATGGGAACTACTGTAAAGCGTTCTGAGTGCTTTTCACTGTGTAGAACAGTGCTATATGAGACCATTTACCATGATGAGAGTTGTAGTGCTAGTACGTGTTCATCCTAAATGCAAAGGAGAAAAACAATCAGAAAAATCCATACAATGCAGAAAATGCCCCATCAGTGTGGTTCTTAGATGCTTTGAACACTGCATTTGCACAAAATAAGAGTGCACACCAACCAAAAACAGCCAGGGTTCAGAGGGTTGACAGGGGGTGCATGGTACTAATACAACCACAGTTTGAACCCCCACTGGTGTAGCTCATAGTATTATTTGGTGGTGCACATGCAAGCACCAACATCTATCCTTCTAATTTAACTCAGCATGGCCCATTTGAAGCAGTCTGGAGTTAAAGTACAAACTTTACCAGAAGTTATGTAACATCTGCATTTTCTTTTTATCCCCATGCAGTGTCATTTACACTAATATCCTGGGCATATTTTGGCATTTTTCTCCTACAGAAACTCTTCATCCAAAACCCCTTTGAAATGTATTTATCTTAATATCCCCCCACAAACATGAATCAGAACAAGGTTCAGCTTCTGTTATATTACTATAACTGCCCATTTATTTTGCTGGAGTGTGTTAAACATGTTTATACTTTGGTAGGAGAAATCTGTCTGGTTGTGAGATTGTTGCTATAGAAAAAAACCCTTTAAGAGCACATTTAAAAAATATTTGGAGTGTTTGATGCTATAAAAAAAACTAGTTGTATAGAATTTTCCTGTATTTCTGTGGTTAGTGTTAAATTCAGTGGGCTTATTTCATGTCTATTATAAGATCAGTCCAATGTAAGAAGGACATAGGACGCTCCAAGTCTCTTATATCAGCTCTGAGGACCGAGGAAGGTGCTATAGGAGACATGACCGAGAATACATGAGACCATCCCTTGCAGAATTTTTGTGTGA